TATATATATATATATATATATATATATATATATAAAAGATACTATTTGTACAGAGAGAAATAACGCGAATAAAAGTGAAACAGTCTAAATGTGTACAAGTGTATCAAAAAAAAATAACCTATGATATTTTCCTTTTCTAATTGAATATTAATCATTGTTCTCTGTATATATTATTACTAATCCTACTATTGAGTAGTTTTATAACAGGAAAAACAAAAAAAAAACGAAGAAGAAAGGAGGCGTACTCATTTAATTGTTAGGATAAAAAAAGAAAACGAAGAAGATGCAAATAGTGCCGATGACAGTATGCATATAAGTAATATACATAACTCAACCTACAAGTTGTATGTCATCATTATTCATAGTACCAAAAAATATATAAATGTTTGTCATTTTTTTTTCCCTCTCCGATTGATTCCCACGTTTACATGCGATTAACACATATGTGGGATCAAAAATGAAACTGGCTGGGAATTACATCAACATATTGAATATCTCATAGAAATGTGAAATATATATGTCTGAGAATACAAACAAGTGTTTGATCGGATAACTTTGATGATAAATACAATGTAATATTTATGTGAATAACATTGATTTAAAGATAGTAGAACATCTCTATCCAATTCAGTTGAAAATCCATATAAAAAAAAAGAAAAAGAAATATACATTAAGATGAAATTTGATATTGTCTTGTGAACACAAATGTGATTGACACATAACAGATGGCAAAAAATAAGAACTCGTTGTCCGTCATTGAAAACCAACATGTCACTGATCAAGTTGTCTATGTTATTTGATATTTATAATATATAGATCTAATCTATGTCTTTTTTTATGTCAGAAAATGTAAACATGAAGTTTTGTTGTATGTAATTCCATTTGATAAAACAACAATAATAACAATACGAAAGGTGAATCTATGGCAATGGTTATTATATAAGAAATTTTCATTCAGATATTTTTTTATACATTAACAGACTTTTGCTTATTCATACATAGAAAGTCACAAATAATTTTTATGACAATTTTTTCATTAGAAAAATAAGTTATCGAGAATAACGAATTGTTATGGATGAATTTGTTTATAATTTTCATGGTAACTGACAAAACTGTCTCGTTTTTTTTTTGCCATAAAATGATTAGGTCGAGAAATTATAAATTGCAGACATTTGATTTTTATTTACAGTCAAAAAAGAAAAAAAAAAAGAAAGCAAACGAACGAAATTAATCATCTCCATCAATACCACTTTCATTCATAAATGAAAGTAATTGTGCTTTAGTCTTTTTTTTTTCATTCGAATTTCCATCATTACTTTCTTTTTGTATAGTTGTTGATGATATTGGAGTTTTGCGTTTTATTGATTTATTTGATGCCATATCAATTATATCAGACTTATTAGTTGCACTTATATTGTCATCTGTTTTTTCTTTTGGCTTACGAAATAATAGACGACCATTTGAATCAATACATTTTTTTTCTTCGTCAGCTAAAAATAAAAAAACAACGAATCGTCGAAATTTTTGAAAATGGGCTTATTTGAATTATTCATCGAAATAGTCTATGTAAATATGCTTGAAAATATGGCATTCATTTACGATAACAAATGGCAATTTTTCATGCTAAAAATAGTTTGTAGTAATACTCTTATTGGAATACAATGCTGTTATTTTTTTAAGTCTAAAACGAAAATGAAGAAGAGACACTATTATAGTATTATGCACCTTGAGTCTTTCATTTGCAAACAGATGATATCAAAGACAAAAGATAAAAATGTCTCTGTTTAGAACATCTATATTCGTTGATAGTGGAAAAAGTACTTTTAATACTATTTGAGAACATTAAATTAATCTTAAAAAGGTTCCGATATATATGATTTTAATAAACAATATTGTCTTGTTTTGTCAAAACGGAAAAACATTATATTGTATATTAGTACGAACGTAATCATATAACAATGAAAATACTGTTTGATAAATAGTTTATTTTTCTGACCTTGAGGAAATACAAGGTGAAAAACAGATGTTGTTTTTCTCTTCTAAATTCTAAGACGTAGAACGCATACAATACCTTCTTTAGCTTTTGCTACTTCAATTTCAACTTCTTCTTTACTTAAATCATTTGTACTTAATTGTACAATTTGAGGTTTTTCATCATCTTTTCGATAATCTCCATCACGTGGTCGTTCATCATTATCATTTATTTCATTAATAAGCATTTGACGCTAATATTTAAATACCAAAAACATTATTAAAATGAAAAGAAAAAAAAAAGCAGATTCTATACTTTATCGTCAGTTGTTGATGGTGCTTTATAACCAGTACGTTCTTTAAATTGTCGTATAAATGCAGGTTCATCACCTGAATTATATGAAATTTTTCCTTGTCTATTACCACCACCACGACCACCACCACCACGACCGCCACTGCCACCGGCAGTTCCACCATAAGACCTATTTTGTCTTCCACCATGTCTATGTTTCGACATAATTTACAATCAAAAAAAAAAGAAAATAAAGAAAAACAAAATATTTATTTATTTATTTATTATTCAAATAACAAGAAAAAATACAAAAAATATTTTTCTTCAATATTATTATTTATTTTAATATAGAAATGTTTTTTTAAGTCATCAATACTATTTTTTTTAATATTCATTCGAATGATATTCTATTCATAGTTATTATAAATATTGTTATTTCATTTATGTTTTAACTAAATATTACAGATAAATTTTGTTTCTGATATTTATATATTAAATAAAATTATCATTGATACATAGAAAAAAAAAAATCAAATATAGAACAAAAATAATTTGATAAAAACCAATAAGAAAATCTGCAAATTATACTCCAATATCAAGATAATTTAAAAATAAAATATCCACTGTATAACTTGAAATAGCTAAGCAAATTTATGAGCATAAATTTGATCGAGTTTTTAAAATTTTGTCTTGAAATTTATTCATTAAACAAAGTTCATCAATTCAATAACGAATGTATTGAGTCAAAACTATTAGTAATTCAATACACGTAATATAAATTAGCAAATTAAGCGCTAAAATGTGCTGCTCTAATAGTCCATAAAAGTACTTATGTTAAAATATTTTTTCCATGAAGTTGAATTAGTCTAATAATAATTAGCATTTTCTTTTTTGTTTTTTAATTAAATCATTCTTAGATTGTTCTAAAGTATTTGCTTTTATAACAGATTGACAGAGATGAGATTCGATTTATGTTATCTTTTTTTTTTTTCTAATGTAATCGTTCAATATGTTGACGATGATTCTATAGTAAAATTAAATCATAAAATTATCCATATAAGAATTTAAAAAAATATGTATATATATAAAATCATCTTAAATCTTTCAATAATCATTTAAAATAAATTGAATAAAATAATGATTGCACAAAAATCCAAGAAATTTAACAATTCTTATTCAATATAAAATATATAATAATCATAACTGAACTTTTTCCTTGAAAAACTGCTGTTACTTTTATGAGAATACATATTAATGTTAATATAGTCAATAATGCATAAAAAGAAACCAATTCTGATAGCATGTAAAACATTTTCTATTTAATGTTACTGATAACAATTCTCTTGGAATTTGAATAATTGCACAACTACAAAAAAAAAAGAAATAATACAAGAATAAATTCTTGAGTTTTTACAATTCATTTAAGTTAACATACTAGATAGTGCTCCAATGTTTCATATTTTCTTACTAAATCTGATAATTATGACATATTACTTGATAATTAATGAATAGATGGCTTCATAATTGGAATAATTGCGATTGATAAATTTGATTGTAAAAATAGATTCATTAGCAAAAATCAAACAATGTAAACGAAGACTATATGGTTATGATATCGTTTAATATATAATTATATTCCATGAAATCATTTTTTTTTTTATTTGACTTTTCAACCTGAGAAAACAAAAAATCTATTCATGTTAGAGATGTGCAGAGTAGAGTAAAGGTTAGAAATTTTTTTTTGCACGAGAAAATCTACCGAAGTCTTCAATTGCTTTTCGATTGAGACTCTACTCAAACGATAGGCTCTGGTGAGTAATATCAAAGCCAAAGATAGTTCGGTTGTCTGAGCCTATGTTCTTGACATTATCGAATTTTTACTAGATTTCTTAATCCAAGTTTCCAGTGAAAAATTCAATATCCCAAAAATAATGATTCACACAACCGAACCATCTTACACATTGACACTGTTCACTATAGCCTGTCATCTGGGTACAATGTTGATCAAAAAGTGATAGGACACTTCAGAACATTCCCCCGTCAGTCAAGGTACAGAATACAAAAAAAAACGTGTACCCTGCACATCTCCAATTCAGATCAGGTAATAATATTGTTTTTTGATCAACATAAATGAATCTATATCAATTATTTTTTTGTTTTTAATATACCTGTTGGTACAATGTATCCTTGAATGTTAATGACGATTTCGTACAATCATCCAGATTGTCGCCTATGATAAGAAGAAAATAAAAATAGAACAAATATATTAGTAGACAAAATTAAAACACCTTGAAAAATAAATTAACACATTCTTACCGAATAAAAATGACATGAAAATAAAATAACAATAACGATAGACATATATATATATATGAAAAATCAATATCACTTGTTTATATTTATAAGACGAATAGAATTTTCTTTTACATATATTAATCAAGTTTTTGTTTCTTTTTTTTTTTATCATGAAAAAAAAATCAATGAAAGTTTTACAATTGTTTTTTTTTCAATATACACAAACCATAGACAAACAAAAACAGACAGAAATAAAAATGTTTGTACATACAATGGAGATAATGTTCAAACTATTTGATATACATATAGTCTTCTTGGTTTTTTTTTTGCTTGTTTTTTATCTAATATAAATTCATTCGTCAAAAAAAACGAACGATGAAATTTTGGAAGAAAAATAAAAACAAAAAACAAAACTATGGATAAATTTTATTTTTCATTTTGTTTATCGTCTCATAGGTCGTTTAGATGGTATTGGTCCATTATCATTATATCTTGAACCAGAACGTTTTAAATTTGGACGATCACGATGAGATGATGAACGATTATCATTCTGATTACGATCACGATTATTTCGAAATAAACCTTCTTGATGATCCATTAATGATGGATAATTAGGACGTGATGATGATGATAATGTAGTTCCATAATCTCTTGATTGAGATATTGAACGATAATTAACATCTTGTATATATTGTTCACGTGTTGTATAGGATGATGGTGATGACATTGAAACATTTGATGAACTTCGATACAAATCATTACGATAAGTAGATGATGAGACAGATGCCATTGAATGATCACGTGATGATGTATTATTTCGATTCGCTACAAATTAAAGGAGTATTTTTTCGCTTGATTGTAATAATGTATAAGAAAATAAATATAAATTTTCGAAATTTATTATTTACTTTTTTTTTTTTTTTTTTTTTATCGAAATCTTAGTATATTAGGAAACTGATTTATTCAGAAAGAAAAATAAGAAAGATTATGAATTATTTGTTTATTGTTTGTATTTTGAATAATTGTTATTATTTAATCATATTGAATTAAAGAAGGTTTTTTGTTTTTTGTTTTATAATCGAAATCAGACGATGACATTGAAAAAAGGTTGATGATATATTTATAGTTTATTTTTTCTCTCATGAATATATCGAACATCAATCATCGTGAGTAAAGATATGAATATAGACGTCTGAGAAATTAATCATAATGATAATAAATGATTTATATCTACTTCGAAGTGATAAAAAAAAAAGGAACTTTGGTTCTTGTGTGATCATTATATTGATATATATATATATATATGTGGTTAAATTAACCGAGAGATAGTAATAGATTGAATGTAATCAAAATAAAAACATATGATTGTTTAATGAACGATAGAAAAGGAAAATTATGTTTTGTGCTAAGAGCGACAGGTTACTAGAAAAAAAATTTGTTTAGAATAGCACTTACATGGCAGGTCATATCGTTCAGAACGTGTGCCATAATCATTTGGTCGATACAGTTCACCACTATATGGATCATTACGTATAGATACAGGAACCAATGGTGGAGGTGTTAGAGATCGATATTCATTACGCATATATATATCATTATTAATATTTCGAGGTCCATAGTCCATTAATCGTTCATTTCGATAAGATGAAACAGGTGGTGGTGGTGGTGGTGGTGGTGGTGGTGGTGGTGGAGAACTATTTCGTCTACAAGAAACATATTAAAAATTGTCGAGAATATGTAATTGAAAAATAAAACTTTACCGATAATTCGACGATGATGAAACATATCGATTACGTTCTGAATCAATATGTTGTGATGGTAATAATGGTGGTAATCCACGATCATGTAAAGGTAATATTGATTGAGATGAATTATAATATAAAGAATTTGATGGAATAGAATTATTGGAAATAATTTGTTGTTCAGTTAATAATGATGAATATTTTTCACGATGATTTGATGATCGATCGAATCTTGATGATGGTGAATGATTATCATAATAATTTGATTGACCACTATTTGTTCGATTAGATAATGATGAAGAAATATTTGACGAAGATGAATAATCATCATTATGATGTTGATAACGATGATGTTTTGGTGGGCCATTTCGTGATGAAACAGGTCGAGAATTAAGTGATATACGTGATGAACGATAATTATTACTTTCATTTGATGAATTTCTTGATGAATAATTACCATTATGATCATTACTATGTGTTGGACGTTCACTGAACAAAAAAAAAAGGCAAATCTTTCTTTTATATGATTTAAAGAAAAGAAAAATTTATCATACTGATAGTTTCCACGTGTTGATCGATCCGTAGGATTATTTCGATGTGTCGAATAATTATTATGTCGATCACGATATCGACCACGATAACCGTCACGTAAACCATCCATATCTATAGGCATTGATATATAAAAAATAACAAATTGATCACGAAATATGACAATCAACTAGTGCATATATTATGATGAATGTCTGGAACAGATGTGTTAGAACAAGACCTTTATTCTTTTCTTTCTATTATTATTAACAGAAATGCAGAAGGAAGGAAAAATCTATGGATAAAAACCTATCAAGCAATATAAATATAATGATCTTTCTTTTTTTTTTTTTCTTTTTTTTTGTTGATTGTATACACAAGAGACAAATGGATCGCATCAGTGGATAAAGAATAATCAATTTTTCATGCTGTATTAAGGCTATTTTCATAGAAGCTATCAGAAGATATTTTATTCAATATCTATTAATAACAAAACACTCGTGAAGCATATTTTGTATATAAAAGATAGACTATAGTTAGAAACAAATTGACGTAGATATATATATATGAATTGCACAAGACTTAATGCTTATAATATAGAGATACAAAGTGTTGACACATCGCGTGAGATTTTTTTGTTATAGATTCTTGAATAATATTTATTAATAGGTTATTTCGTAATTCCTCGGCCGCATTTTCGAGTTCACGTAGTGACTTTTGGATTCTCATTTTTTTTTTGACATTTTGTGTTTGATAAAATTCCATCTTAGATCAGCACTATTAAAAGAAGTACTATAATTCGACCATTGGCATAATTCAATACTATATACATAACATGAGAATAGGACTGATGGAACATGAAATCACCTATTAACAAATGTTATCCGTAAAAAAAAACGATCTTGGGCTAGATATATTCAAATTAGATGAAATGTTCAGGACATATTGGGACTATAGTCGAGAGGTTTTATTAAAATTTTCAGACCTATATTATTACATTTTCGGAAGATAGTCACCAAACAAGGCTAAAGAATAGCTCATCTATTCTCTGTGGATCTTCATTCTATATTGTTTTATTAGAAAGACAGTGTCAGACTGCAGTACTCATTGTTTCCAAATTCTTTCTTTTTATGCGAAGAAAAAGGATGACAAGTTTAATATCTGAAAAAATAGACATCGACTTATAGAAATACTTTTTAAAAAGTTTAATCCAAAAAACGGACACTGCAGATTCACATGTTCTTTTTGAATAATAAAAAAAAAAGCAATTGGCTACAATGAAGCTCCTTGGAGAATTCTAGAATGCTTGATTAGAAAAGCATAAGCACAGAAAATAGCATATTTTTCAAACGGCAAGTGACGAAATTGTCAAATAAAAAACTATGTTCATTTATAAAAGATCAGACCTAGAATTATCATCTCAATTTCGATTTTTCTGAGGAGAATGGACTGTTTTTTCTCACGGAGAGCTTAAAAGAGATCAGATGGATGTATTAACACTTTCTATTAAATTATTCTTTGTATTATGAACATTTATTCTTGTGCAAAGGCGTGGGCTGAAAGTTTCTTGACAAAATATTTGACTCGGAAGTTGATGAACTTTTAGAATATATACTTCGAGTTTTTCTATGACTTTTGAATATTGAACGATAAGTAAAACTTGAAACGGCTTTAAAATTTGTTTAGGGGGAAGGGGAGGAACGGGAAAACCTCAAATGAAACTTCTCCGAGATATGCCACAAAATTTTATTGAATATATCGGAAGATACAGAAAATAATTCACTACAAATTCTGACATCATTTTGTATAGTACAGATCACCTTCAAGCACAATATATTTACAGAACTTATTTGATATCTACACGAAGCAGACTTCTCTTAAAAAATTTTTTTTTGAGTTCTTTGAAGATTTTCTTATAGCTCAATTATTAAAAGTCGTAGAAAAATTCTAAGCATATATTCTAAACGAGCACAATTTAAATACACAAAAAATAGTCAAATTTTTTGTTTAGAAACTTCTGATCCACTCCGTATAGATTATAAAGTGAGTACCAAAATTATTCAACAAAGTTTTTGTTTTCAATTTTTTTTTCTAGTGTCGTAGACGTTAGAAACAATCTAAATAGTGATTCGAATAGAGAAAACGATTTTCAACAAGAATATAAGGAAATAAAGATTATAATCAGACTTTCAAAGATATGAACTTCAGAAAATCAAAATCCTAGTTTTTCAGTACCTAAAGCACGTAAATATAGTTTTGTTTAGACAATATAGAATGATAGCGTGAATAATTGCCTGCAAAATGAGATGTCTCCCAATTCTCTACGACCTTTTTCATCTGAAATAGCAGCAATTTGGTTGAAGGTTAAAAACATTGACCTTTTCTATAGGAAATACTAAAAATATCAGCTTTAGAGATTACCATAAGATTACTGTATCCCAACCAAAAACATCTCATAGAGACCTTGCAGGCATCACATTTTGTATGTAGTTATGTATTTTATCATTCTGTAGTCTAAAGAAAATTATTTTTACACGTTCTAGGTGCTGGAAAACAAGGATTTTGATTTTCCGAAGTTCTTATTTTGAGAATCTGATAATAATTTTTATTTTCTTATATTCCTGTTGGAAACAATTATCTCTATTCATATTACTATTTGGATTCTTTCTAGAGCTTGCGACAATCGAAACTAAACCTTATTGAATAGTTTTGGTATCTATTAATTTATTTCAAACATAAACTCAAGATCTTATATATCAGAATTACAATTCGTAAGTATTTTTTATCATTTTGTAGTATACTAATCTAAAGGTTTATGTTTGTTTTTCTTCTTATAATAATATTAACATAAAAACATGTCAATTCTATAAAGGCAATCATTAACATATTTCCTTCTGTAATGTGGGTCTATGATTTCATTTTCCGGAAATTACAAAAAAACTAAGGAATCAAACACTTGTACCCGTCAATCTTCATAGGAAACGTTAGACATCTTTGATTTCCTTTTCTTTTTTTTTTTTTACATTCAAACAAAAAAAAATAAAACAAAACAAATGAGTGTGTTGTCTACACACACCGTGCTCGAATCTTTTTTTTTTAATGCTAATATATTTTTTTTTCTCAGTAAAAGACAAGAAATATACGATAGATTAGATAGTGAACCAAAGACAAAAAAAAGAGAAAAAAAAAAAAAGAAAATGACATTCTGTTTTAATTTGTTGTTCGCATTTCAAAGTGAAAATAGAATGAACAAAAGACATACATACACACGCACACACACACACACACACACACACATGTTTGATGTTTTTATTTACACAAAAAAAAAAAAAAAAAGGAAAAAGAATAAATTTGTATGGTAAAGGAATTTGTGTTTTTTATAAAAACAGAATTCGTGTGCACAAAAAATTACAGACAATAAGAGCAAAAGATGATGTTATATCTGGCACACGAAAAGATGACAACAACACAAAACTAGAGACTCTGCGTGCTAAAAAACAGAAGAAGAAGAACACATCAACAATGAAAATTTTTATTTGTTTTAAGCATAAATTTTCGCTATTGAATCAGCTCCAACACTAGCCATATAAGGTTTTGATAAATGAAATGCAACGTCATGTATAGATTCATCATCTTTCTTTTGATGAGCTGTTAACTCTTGTATACAATTTTTTGTTTCCAAATTCCATAAACGTATTGAACGATCATGACCTTAAAAATTTTTTACATCACAAAAAAAAATTTTTTTTTTTTTGTTCGAAAAAAAATTTCATTCTTACTGCCAGAAAGAAGGCATGTTTGTTGTGGATCAATTGCTAATGAAGTAACCGTATCAAGATGAGCTACCATTGAATGTATTATACGTCCTTAAAATAAACAAAAACATTCATTTAATATATATCGATAAATGTTTTGTTTTTCTTTCTTATTTACCGGAATTACTATCAAAATATCGTATTTTTCTATCTTCATGTGCTGTTATTATAATTGGTTGTGATGGATGACTCATAATTTTATTAATTCGATAACTTGGATCTAATGTTGAATTATCATTACCAAATTGTGATACAACTTTTCCTGTTTCAGTATCATAAAGAATTGTTTTTAAAGAATCATATGTTGCAACAAATTGATTTGTATCTTGCATTAACCAATCAATAGATATTGGAATACCATCATCTATATTATTAACAAAAAAAAAAAAGATCAATGCCTGAAGAAATAGACAAAAATCTACGTATTACAATTATTATACATGCTAAAGGTCTAGAATAGTGTTCTAAAAATTTCGTTCAGAAAGATGAAAATCGTCCCGATTGCTTAAACATAATGTGAATTCAATCTATTACTGAACTATTCTTGAGTTATAGTCTCCGAAAGGTTAGTACACAGTTTGTGTAATAGGGAATACAAAAATTTTCCAATGTATAATACTCGAGATGTGTGGACGAGGGAAGGAAAATTAGTTTTTTTCACTACTGTACTATGAAATATTGATTGTAATGGTTGAATTAAATTTGGATCCCATAATCGAATAGATCCATCCGATGAACATGATAATAATTTTTGACCGGATATAACTAATTGCCAAATAGCATCTGTATGACCTTCTAACACTTTGCATAAAACATTTGAATCTTTAAAAATAAAAAATAATATCAATAGAAAAAAAAAAAAAATTTTTTAATTATTTAGTTACCATAGGAATCATATGCATCAACATCAGAATTTGGAATATTCCATACAGATATAATTGAATCAAGACCACCACTATAACACTGTTCTCCGGACGGATTCATTGCCACGCATAAGACGGGACCGCTAGATCAATTAAATAAATTCAATTATATGATCTGGCAAAAAGTTTCGTATTCAACTAAGATCCAATCGAAATTTTAATAGACTACTAACACTGAACAAGTATATCATCATATTATTTCCCATGACGAAAAAAAAAAAAAAAGACCCGGAAAAGTTCATTTTTAATCAAATCAATAATTATTCCAGGCACTAGAAAAACATTCATCAATACTTGCATATTGATTTCTCTGTAATATATTTTCATCATCTTCAGTTGAGAAAGTTTTATTCTCACAATTTTTATTATTATTAAACTTACGTATGCCGTCGAAATGTATAGATTGG